GAGCCAGCCGATGCATGTAGGAGTGGCAGGTCTCCCCCTTCAGTGAGTGTCCCCAGTGTTCTTCATTATAATGCAAACACTGATTGCTTCGGAGGAACATAAAATACACGACGGTTGGGACTGCTGGACAAATTGCTTCGAAGGGGTCCAGAGCATGAAATGTATTACGCTCATTAAGTTTCTTTCTTCTCGATCCACTCCATTGGCCCTGCCAATTAAAATGACTGCGCATGTTATTTTTTAGAGTACTATTTATTTCCCTTTGTAGATTTTTAGATAAATATTTAAAATGGTGAAAAAAGTCATTTATGTGGCAATGGTCAAGGAAACATTAGGTCAGGAATTGAAGGCGTGGTGTAACGATGTCCCTTGCTCTAATTTTGGGTTCTGTTACTAAACAGAAACGCTCCTGAAAATGTGCCAACAGTCTCATAAAGATACGAATACAGTTTGATCCGATAAGTCGATGGTTTTTACATCGGTCTAATGAAATAAAGTGAACTAATGGAAACATGAAATTTTAAAATGAGCAAGCAATATCTTAATCAGTGACACAGTGGAAAATCTATTCAATTGAAAATATGTCTTAGATTAGGGGTAATGGATTTTTTATGGTCATCGGTGAGAGCACAGCAGATAACATTCTTTTAAAAATTGAATCCATATATTTCTCAACAGTGTACAATTTCAATAGAACATGTGATGCCTACAGGACGCATACTTTGGGAAAAATGATATTGAAGAAGTCACATGGGAACATGACAGATAAGTGATTCCTTCTCTTCATATCATCTGAACGCTAGTGAGACATGGGAACAACTTTCACTTCAGCCGAGCACATACAGACGACAAAGTAAAACAGGAATCAAAGACATGAAAACAGGTCATTTTATCTTTCTGTGTGTCGATTATTAACACTTTAGTATAAAAACAGGAGCACTGAGGACCACCTGAGCTCATGTTTTGTGAAGACTTATAGTCGCTCAGTGAACGCGGGCTGAGTCATGCTACACAGACATTTACCTAAATAAGCAGCACAGAGTCAAAAATGCTGCTCATGCTAAATTTCACACCAAATTTGGAATACCCAGGGTTGAATCTCTTGATGTCAGTGTTTGAAGTAGAAAATGAGACATAGACATGTTTTTGCCATAACACTCTTTATCTGTACCTCTCATATAGGCCAAGCAGATTAGAGATTTGAGGGGAAAAGTGAAAGGGGATATTTCTAATTGACAAAGTAAAGTTTGCCTGTTATAGAAGATACCAATGAAAAATAAGTCAAAGTTCACCCATTAAAACATGAGCTTGGTTCCAGCTTAGCATTCTTTCTTTTTAAAAAATACTTAGTTGGATTCATTCACTCAGTGAATATACTTAGTTGGAATATCTACAGCTGTATCTCCTAAATTTTCATGACATTGAAAGTTAGTTATAAACATATTTTGACCACCATATTGTGTAAGGCCACCATAAATTATTTCACCACATACCCCCTGTAGCACTGGGGTTGGTTATTTCCATTTTCTTTTTCTTTTATTTCTTTTTTTTATTTAAAGAGAAAGAGACCAAAAAAATACATGGAGATAATAAAGGGTAGAAATAATAAAGAATTACAGAAAAATAAGAAATTGCCAGTTGATAAGTTACATATTGTCATCTTAGAAATAGCTGTTCAGGTCACAAAATTAAAGTATGTAAAATGACATTCAAATAGTGACACTGCTAACAGTTCTGCTCAATGATCTAACAAAAACTTAGTAATATCAGTCCTACACACTTGTTTTATATCTTAAAGAGGGTAAGATTAAACATATCAAAACAGAACAAAACAGTTTAAAAAAAAACAGTTTAAAGAAATACAGATTTCAAAGCAAGTCCACTGGAGATCTTCACTGTCTATCTAATTGTCTGTAGTTTCTTCCAAATAGTTGTCCCCATCGTTACACACATTAAATACATACTGCCTATTATAGAACTAATCAAATCATTACAGGATGATGAAGGCTTTTTAGGGGTCTTCAAGATCTGACATTGGGGAAGACAATAATAACTACTATTTCCATTTTCTTATCAGTAAATATATCTAAGGAATAAATATGAAGAACGCCTGGTAGGTTTTTCTTGACGCAGCAGAGAAGTCAAGACAGGAAAAAGAAAAAGGCCTTTACTGCGGGCACGTGAAGGGTGCAGAAGAGTGCAAGCTTCCTCTGGGGCAGACAAAGGAGTGGTGGGTTTTTATTAGGTTTGACAGGGGGTGGGGTTTGAAGGGGCGGGCAGAGTGAAGTATTGACAGCTGATTGGGGGAACGCTGTCACCTGTGTGAAAAGCCGGAAGTTCAAATCGGGCTTGGAAGAAGACCGCGATAGTACCGGAGGGATGCACCTTCACTTTTAGGGTCCAGCATCTGTTGGGCAGATGCCTGGCTGGGCTGACAGAGTCTCATGCGGCGGAACCTAGCATGCCTATGCACACCAATTTCTATTTCTGATGAGTCACTAAAAGGGAAACAGAAGTTGAGCGTGAAGCTCATAAATACTTTAAGGATCTCACTGCATCTCGACATGTTTTCAGAAAAGTTGACTCAATTTAATTCATCTCCTATGAAAATAAGCATCTTATCCCACCCTGTTGATAATTGTATTTTTCATCCTTAGTTTTGCTAGTAAGACAGATCGCTTTATTTTACCAATCTCGGGATGCACATTTCTCACAGTTTAACTTAACCTAAATTAGGGGTGGGTATGTCAAGGGTGTGTTCTGATTTATTTAGAAGCATCTTTTTTTCTTAATGGCTCTTACCAATAATGGTGCATTTTACAATGAATGACATCTTAGGAGTCCAAGAAAGACAGCAGTCTCTTAATTTTTAGCTTGTATTTTTTTTTTGACGAGCAGCAAATAGTCAAAGATTTATGTATCAGCACACATTTTAATACCCTAATAAAATCTAAAAAATTTTAAAATCATAGTTAAAAAACCCCACATAAAATAAAATTTACTACCTTAATTCATTTTTTAGCACACAGTTAACTATTGTTTGCTGTGTTCACATTGTCATGTAACTGATTGCTAGAACCCTGTCACCCTGCTAACCAGACTCTGTCTCTATTAAACACCAACTCCGTTTCTTTCTCACTCAGAGCCACTCACTCACACAGAACTGCCACTACTTCCTGTTTCTATGGGTCTGACCACGAGAAATAATATTCAGCATCTCTGACCAGGAGAGGAGTGCAAATTAAAATAGCACTGAGATTCATCTTGTTCCAGAAGGAACCACCATCATGGAGAAATCAGATAATAACAAACGCTGGTGAGGTTTTGGGGGAAAAGGAACCCTGCTACATGGGTCGGAGTATAAAGTAGCACAACCATAGTGGAAATCAGTATGGTGATGATTCAGAAAACTAAAACTAGAAACCCCATTCAACCCAGCTATTCTCCTTCTAAGTCTCTTTCTGAAAGTATCAGACATCCTATTACAGAGACCCATAGGCACTCAGTAGCACAACTTGTATCCAAATCTTGGATGACCATCAACAGATGAATAGATAAACGTGGTATTTACACATGGTAGAGTACTACTCTGCCATAAACAAAGATACATTTGAGTAATTTGTAGAAAAATGGATGTAACTTGAGACCATTGTGTTAAGTGAAATAAACCAGTTGCAAGTTTAAATATCACATCACTTTTCTTATGTGAGAAACCCAATAATAATTACAAATAATTTAAAGAGCAAAATACAAGATAGTTAAGACAAAGGGAATGAAATCTTTTTCAGATGGGAAGATCAAGAGATGGGGTTAGGGAACAAGGGTATAAAAGGAATTGAGGTGTATTATGTACAAGCACCAACTCCCCGTGATGAATCTAATTATTATGTAGTACAAATATGTAGTTAAAGGTATAAAAAATGCTCACAGGGGTGTAAGAACTGGCATGGAACACATGCAGGGCGATCCTACAGAAAGGGACAGCAATGCATTTGGAGCTTCTCCAGGGAGAGAGCCCAGCGGGCAGCAGTGCCAGTAGGAAAGGAAGCAGGAGGGCTGCCCTGGCAGCAGAAGCTCCCTGTGCTAGCAAGAGCCACGTGGGGACCAGCCAGCCCTGTGCAAGGCCTTGTGTTCCAGGGTGTGAACCCACAGGAAACTGCTTTGCTGCAGCCAGACCCTGGTATGGCCCCCTGTACACCCGGCCCCCTGCTCCTCACCTGCTGCTGGAATCCCCTCCAACCTGCTTCCAACCCACACAGCAGGGCAGAGGGGATGGGCCGGCACTTCATGCCAGTCAGCAAGACTGGAAGCATCCTTGCTTTCCCTGTTGGCTTCAGTGAAGCCCCTGGGCATCAGAGAGGCCCCTCCTTCATGGGCTGGTAAGGAAATGAGGCCCCTGGTCTGGTGGCCCAGGGGGAACTGGGTCCTGCCAACAACCACACAAGTTTGGACAAAGACCTTTCCCAGCCAAATCTCAGGTGAGATCAGCCCGGCCCACATTACCGAGGTAGCCTTGTGAGCCCCAGGAAGAGAACTCAGCTAGAGCACAGGACTGCAAGAAGACGGGTGGGTATTGCCTAAGCTACCGTTTGCGGTGACGTGGATGTATGGCAAGAGAGAACTAATATGCCCACTCAGCTCTATGATTTAGTTATCACCATGGAGACTTCCCCATGCTCCATTCTGATCTAGCCTTATCAAGGAAACCCATGCCCAAGACCACCGGATCCCAGTAAAGAAGGGTGCACAGCTGGCATCGGGCCGGAGCAGCTCATGGCACTGCCTGTCCCTGTCCAAGCTGGGAGGGCTCTGACCTCGTCTGGAGTTCTGGAGGGCCAAGCCCTGCCTCTCTACCTCCCCAGATCCCCTCCCCCTGGGCTTCTCTTCACTCATTTGCCCAATTTGTTTCCTTTCTTTCCCTAAAATCCTCCAGACAAGATGCGAGTTTTGTGACATCTGGCACTGTGAAGAAGCCAGATCCTGCCCACAGGGAAACTCACCATTCCCAGGAATACCATCTCCTCTTCTCTCTCTCTCTCCGTTTTCCTGCACTGATGGAAACCTCGCCAAACCTGAAACAGAACACAGGGCTGCTCGATGACTACACAAAGCAAATCTGACCACACAGCTTTCCCCATATAAATGTCACATGCCACCCGCCCTAATGATCATAAACTCCAGGCTGGGCACAAATGTGTTGATGGAATGTTTTTTTCTGCTGGGATTACAGGAAACAAGTTTTTAAAGAAAAGATGACTCAGAACTGACTTTCTCACTTTCATTCAGAAAGTTCCCTACCTGGTTTGCCTTGAGAGAAACTTTAGCAGGCAGGAGAGAGGGGCTAGTTCTAAGGGCCTCTTCATGGCTTTAACGGAAAAATTTCCAAAGTAATGTGGGGAAATATCCTAAGAATTATGCATCCCAAGTTTATAACTCAGATGCTAAAACTTTATAGCCCCATGGAAACTTGAAAGAAAATAAGCTTTCGTCTATCTTTCCGACCTCCTTCTCCCCTCCCAATCAGACATAATTAGGGACAGAATTCTGATCGTGTGGCTCCATTTTCCGTCCTTACCCTTGCTTTCTCTCAGTCCTAACTCTAATCTGTGCCACACTATATCTTTGCTTCCCATACGTAACCCTGGGCTCCAGGGGAAGGAGATGGGGCTAAACGTGTGGGGCTCTTTTGACGCGGAGAAGCAGCTATTTCTAGAAGGAACACTGGTGATCTGTCTACAAGGGACGGTTGCTGGGATTTTTAAAATTACGTACTTTCCCGGAAGCTCTCAGTCATGAATCCTTGCTCTGCCCTTCTGAGGTCACGTCTGCGCATGCGTGCATATTAAAAGACCTCTTTAAGGATTTATCCCCTCCCTGGATTTTAGCAACATTCTTTACAACAAATACAAATGGTCTTTAAAGATATTTGATTAAATGCTCTGTTTAGTAGCTAGTGGGATGAAAATTTTAAACATGATCAAATTTAGCTAGTGGTTTTTCCAGGACAACTCAACGAGTCTGTCTGGAATTGATTGACTAAGCCCATTACTCCTGAAGTAGGACCTCGGAGTTTTGGGTTTTGGCGCTCACGTCTCATCCGTTCCCCAGATGGAGGGAGGCCACATAGGAAACCCGCTCCCCCAGCCCGCTCCCCCAGTGAGTCCCAGGCGCGCACCTTCTGAATCCGGACCGCAGCAGCTGCAGCGTCTGCTACTTGTTGTCCGAGGAGCTTGGCCTGCTTTGCTCTGTACTCCTGGAGATAGATTTGCTTCATGAACAAAGCTCGTAGGCGACCTTGCCGTGCCCGCTCAGCAATCTGGAGCAACTTAATGGCCTCTTCCAAGGGCATCGGCTTCATGGTGATTTTCTACAAGATACAGGATAAGTTGAGTGTCAGCATCCTAACGTGTGTAATCAAACGGTGTGATCAAAACAGTGGTTCATAAATAAGAAATTTAACACAACAAAGGACACACTGCCATTAAATGCCATCAAATCCTCCCCTTGCTTTGCACACTCATCCCAGGGCTCTTGTCACTTTGTGCAGCAGCTGTGGAGTCCTCCTTCCTGTCTTTTGTTGCCCTGTCCTGGCTGCCTTGATGTCCTGAATCAACTCAAAACATTGATCCTCCATGATCATTTTGACACTGGCAAGAACCGGAAGTCACAGAGAGCTAAATGAGGTGGATGAGGACACTGTAGTGTGTTTTTGAGCCCCCTTTCTGGTGGATGGTGCTCCGCAGCAGCAGTCACTATATTTTTGATCACATCTCCCAAGTCCACTCAAGAAAAAGGACTTCCAGAAACTGCTTCAGAAAATGGCAAGAACGGAGAGGGTAGTGTGTTCGAAGTGAGACTGAGGACCTGAAGGGGCACTCAGGGAAATGTCTCTTATACAAAAATAAGTTAAAAAAAAAAAAAAAAAGCCAAGCTAGACATTCAGCAGAGTTTGGTCCCACTTTATTTACCCATCAATTACTCACTGTGACGCTCTCTGCTAAGGGTCACCACATGATACTGGTTCCCTTCCCAGTGAATTATGAATATTCTGATACTGTGGCATGTGTGACCTGAAATTTAAAGGCCACTCACCTCCTTCTTCTCTTCCAAACAAAACACTAATTAGTGCTACAATATTTCAGGTTGCAGCAATTTATACAAATAAATGTCAACAAAAGAGTCAATAAAATTTGAAACTGCTGCCAAATATTTCAATGACTTAATAGTAGGATCAGAAATCAAAACACACCTCTAATATAAGAACTAAAAATTTTAAACATATGTCAAAAAAATGCTGGGTTTAAAATCAGTTACAGGTAGACTTAGTGAACACAACTCGCAGTGAACTCATTTTAGGAGCATTTGTTTTACATGTGAATTATCTTCCACAGTCTATGAATTTGTGTCTGAGAACCATCCAGACCTGATGAATGGTATTAAAACAGAAGCAACGGGCTCAAGTCGTCAATCGCGAGGCTCTCAGGCCAGGTGCAGTTGTGCTGGTTTGTGTGTGGGGGGGAAAGGGACCCAAGCAAGGGTTCTGGGAGCACCCGGAGGTCTGTGAGTGCCAGGAGAGGGCCCAGGGCGAGGACTCACTGCTGTCCCTGGAGAAGGGGGCTAGGCATGTGGCCAGCTCAGGATGACCAGCCGGGGTCATCAGCGTGGAGGCTTCATTTATCACCCAGACCCTGTGCCCAGGACAACTGCTTCCTCCCCTGTCCTACCAGAGAGGCAGTGTGTGGTGCTGCTGTTGGTGGTGGTGGGGACACAGGAAGGACTGAGGAGGAGAGGTAGAGATAGCTGCTGAGGTCTCACAGGGGCTGCATCCTTTTCCTCTGGCTCACATGGGTAACCTGTGGGGTCACTGTGACTCCTCAGGAGCGAGAAAAGTGAGGTGCCCAGAATTAGAGTAACCCACACAAGCTCCCGCTGAGAGACCCCCTGCCTCCCCTGCAGCCTCTCAAGGTGGCAGAAGGAACGAGGTTGCTAGGAGAGAGTGTGCTCATACAGTGATTTTCCCAGTTTTGTTTTCACTGCCTCAAATGCACAGGGAGCACACGTTTTGAATTATGGGCTTTGCATATCGGAATGAAAACAAATGCTATTTTGGTGTCAAATCAGCAGCATATGCAAGAGCACTGCTGTATGTGGTGGGTACCTAGCAACTGTTAGCACTGCAATTATCCACATTAATTCTGTTCTGTCACTCTGATACCATCAGCCGTGTTTGAATCATTCTGTCCAGGGGTAGGCTATTCAGCATGACAAAGATTGTTGAGCACTTATGGAGACCTCCATAGTGGATATTAGAGCTGAGGTGGAGCTCAGTGACAGAATGCTTGCCTAACATATGCAGGGTCATGGGTTGGACTCCCAGCACTGTCCAAACAAACAAACCAACCAGTGGATGTTAAGCATTCAAATGATAGGAGATGGGCAGTAATTTTCACTTATCGAAATTCTTCTTGGGGTGTGAAATGCACATGAACTGAAGCAATTGGCAATTTAAGGGGAGCAGGGGGCCCAGGAAGGCAGCAAAGGGGCAAGGAATGCCCTTGGGCTACAGGGAACCTGACATCTCTCAATGGGTAAGGCAATCTCCCTTCTCTGTCTTTCCTATAAAATCTTGGCAGATTTCTGCACTGCCCCTCATTGCCCAGCACTGAGGGTTCCTGTGGGGACTAAATGATGTCCACCACATGCAAGGACAGAAAGCACAATGAGGGGATGGCTGGGACAACTGCAAACATCCAATCCAGCCTTGGAGCAGACTTCAAGGGACTTATAATGTAGATGAGAGGCCAGAGGTCTAGGGAGGGCCTGGGAAGGAGTGACTATGGTCAGCTTGATTTATGTGGTCAGGAAGGGCTTTTGCAATCATACTGTATTGATAGAATGAGCCCCACTCTGGTGGGCAGGTGTGTGCCGAGAACAGCAGCCCTTCTCTCCAGCACAGAGCCTACCAGTGCAAAGCGAGACAGTGCTCAGCTGGCCTTCACCCATGTCCTGGCACTTCTGTCTCCACCATCCCTGCATGAGCCTGGATTTTCCTTAACACTATGACCCAGGCTAGCAATGTGTGGCAGGGCCTATCTGTAGGAGGAACGTCATGCCGATTGTTACTTTCACCCTGCTCTGTCTTTGCAGGCTCTGCATGGTGCCTATATGTGCCCCTCTTGCTCTGCAGTGCCCAGCTTGCAGGGCCCACTGCTGCCAGGCCAGCAGGTTCAGGCAGAAGCACGAGGCTCTCACTTCACAGGCAGCGAACATCTCTTACATGCATGTCAGCCTTGCCAGGCAGAAGGATGGCCTGTGTCCTGACAGCTTCTCTTTCTCGTCCCTACAAACTCTGCTTTCCAGTGATCCACACATCCCTACACCAGAGGCCTGCAAAGGCCAGCAAGCATCTGAGAAACCGTGGTCATCTTCAAGTTCCTTTGATGACAGAGGGTACTTAATGATCTTAGATGGACAGTATTTTAGCTAGGTGAATTGGACATGAAAATTTGCTCATCTATCCATCTTAGACATCCTCATATAACCAACACATTACTCTTTGATCTCTATTTTTAAACTCTCAAAAGATAATGATTATGTGTCACTGAGGACACATCCAAAAGTTATGCAGCTTCTTACATTGTGAATAATTTAATTGTTTCTCATATAACCAGGAGCAGCAGGAAGAAGAAGTTCTATAGGTTTTTAAAAAATGTTTATTAAAATGATACAAACCATGTCAGGAACATTTAGTCCACTCTCTGCTAATATCTGTGTGAGGATCTTCTCTCTTTCTTTTATGGCTTCTAACTTCTCCTTCAAAAAATACTTGGGTATGGGAATATCTAATTGTTGCTGGAGAAGAGGAAGAACAAACAGAAGAATGTGGTTGTTATGATTCCAGAACTGAAATCCACCTAAAACACAGAGCAAGACTGAGTAGATCCAAGACCCTGGGTTTCCTGCCCCATTCTATAAAGGCCCGTGGAGGGAGTGAACTCACTGCCACCAAAGGGACACAAAAAGCCAAGCTAGGAATTTAGCTCAGTGGTGTAAGTGCCTGGCTGCCAAGCACAAGGTCATGAGTTTGATTCCTGGTACAAAAAAAAAAAAAAGTCAAATCTTGGTTTCCATATCAATCAAGTCTCAAAGAATTAGTATTACTTCATGACTTCCTTTCAAGAAATATAATATTATCTCATATATCTAAAATAATGGCTCAAATCAGGATAGTAGCATATCATACTACAGAGATCTTTTAGTTAAACTGAATAATTTATCACCAGCACTGTCACTTTGGATGTAAAATGGTCACACATTTTTTCCTAATAATTTGGTTTTATTTATTTATTTTTTCATCTTAGAAATAGTTGTTCAAGTTGTTCAAATTGAAGCATATAAAGTGGACTTTCAAACAGTGAGAGTGCAAACAGTTTTGTTCAATGATCCAAAAAAACTCAGTAATATGGTTATCTATCTTATACACTTAAACATATATGCAGTTATAACCTTTAGAACACTTTCTTTTCTTTTCTTTTGTACAATGACTATTACACATTTTGGGTTTTATTACTCCCACAGTTCTTATTACTTTTTTTGAAGAGAGTAAAACCAAATGCGACATATCAGAACATAGTCAAATCAAAAGGATGGACATAATAGATAATGTAAAAACAAAATACAAGGTGATCAACAATGGTTACCATACTGCCTCTTGCTATTTTAAGAAGAATTGCCAGTTATAATAAAATTGAACAAAACAGTAAAGAGTAAAACCAAAGCATTGGAGACATTACAGGACTTTAAAAGAAGATAATAGTCAACCAGAATGGGCGTCATAATGAATCTTACTGTCTTCATAGTTTTGCCTATGCTTTCGAACTTGGTACTATCAAGCAAAGCAGAATAGGGGAAAATCAGTCAAAACAAGATGGTGAGGGCAATATAGGATTTCAAATCAAGTTAATAGGAAATCAAAGTAGGTGACTATAATGTATCCTGCTATTTTTTTTTATTTATTTTTCTCTTAATTTTGGTTTATTTTTAACCCAAATTAGCATATTACAAAAATGTTTTAGAAGATTAATTTGGTTTATTGGGAGACATTTTTTATGCAGTAAGTATAAAAATTTGCTCTACCCTTGTGTGTATTGCCAAATATTTCAAGTTAGCAGAGGCTGAAGAAATATTTCCCAGTCCAAGTTTAACAATTGGGAGTGTGGAGACATCCCTTGCCTAGCGGAGAAGCATCATCCTAGATGATACCAGCCTCGATGGTTGCTTCCTGGACACCTGGCTGGGTCTCCTGAGTTAGTTTCTTTTTTCTTGATTCAGGGTGTGCTATCATTTGTGTCTGGATGTCCCTCCAAAGTCTTCTGTGTTCATGGGGGATGCGCCTTTTGAAGGCATCTGAATCTAGTGTTTGTGATTGGTTTGTTGTATAGCATTGGAATTGGTGGTGTGAGTGCTGCACCCACCCAGGGGCAAAGCATACAATATAAGGGAGGGAAGGAGGTTTGCTTTTCCCTTTTGTCCTTTTCATTCTTGTTGCTTATGGCCACCATAAACAGTTGCCCTCTGCCACATCATCTTGCATTGGAACCAACTGAGTATGGACTGAAACCTCCACAAACTGTAAGCTAAGTAAACATTTCCTTCCTTCATTTTGAGTGTCAAGTATTTTTTGTCAGCAATAACCAAGACAGGTGACTCCCAAGGGGTGTCGGTTTCACCCCATGGCTGAGAAGGACAGTATCCTCAGGAATCTAGGAGGTGGCAATGGCTTTTGAACATCAATCCTTTTTTAGGACCATGACCCTTTGGGATAATCTGAGAGTGAGCTTCCAGGGTCCCTTGGGTGAGTGTGCTCTGAAGGCATGGGGGGAAATCAGAGAGGAACAGTTATACTGAGGAACAGTTATACTCATCTGATGCTATGACATTATTTATTAAAAAAGTATATTTAGGTGTTGTACTTTGCCAACTTTTCCAACACAACTTTATTGATCTGGGCCACATAGGACACAGAGATAAGAGCTTCATAGTTGGAATGCTGAGGAGACAGTGCAGTTGAGAAAGGAAGCAGGGAAAGAGATACTGGATCTCTACCCAGGTACCTCTTACGTTCACTCAGACACCTGGGGCTTCTCATTCTGTATGGCGTGGAATCCCAGAAATTTCAGGAGTAGAGGAACCTTCACTTGCCTACTTTCTCTGCCAAGGAGGACCCATCAGGGCAGGTTCCAGGAACAGTCCTTGGGCTAGTTCAGCCCAAATATGATGGACTTTGGGAACCTTACGAGTAACTGAGGCAGGGACAAGGATGACAAGACATTTAAGGCTCCTCCATTTACTTCTCCTTTTCTTACTGAATCTGTTTTTGTTTTCTCTGCCTTACTTTATCTCCTGTTTCTCACCAAAAAATGTCTTCTCTACTGTTCATAACACTTGCATAACTGAGCCTCCAATTCCTAAGAAGTCCAGGAGACTGCAGTTTAGGCCAGAGATGAACCTCATGCTTACTTCCTCTGTTTTGCTTTCAGAATCCCTCCAGGGAGGGACCAAGTGGCCCAACTTCCCAGGGCCCCAGCCAGCTGTATCAGGACACAGGTGCCACTGTGCAATGAGCTGGGAGCTGCCCATGGATGTCAAGTCACAGAGGATGCCCATGGTCTGGTCCCTGTGAAATGCATAGAAATCCCCAGGGCTGGCTTGCAAGTAACTCCTTCTTCAGGGTACTGTTCAAAGAGCCACTTCTGTTGATTGAGTCTCTGGCCACCTGAGCTTCAGTGACCCTTGCCACATGGCTCAGTCACTATTTCCAGCACTGTGCAATCCCCTGCCAGGAAGGGTTCCTTCTGCTCACCTGTCACCAGGTGACAGTGGGTCCATGAGGACAGCAAGAACCCCTGACCTTTATGAAGATGACCCATTGGCAGAGGGGTCAGCCAAGGTGGTGTGGACAGCAGGAAAATGGAAGGGATCTATATATAAATCCGACAAGCTCATCGGTCCTTATGTTTAGAGATACTGCTTAACATCATTGAAGTTAGATCTATAAATTTAATATTACTTCACTGATTAGATCTAGGAATGTGATCTGATAGCCAATGGTTTCACATTTATCCTGGGTGGTTCTTTCTATTTTCACACGTGGAGTGGAGCACTCCTGACCACCATGTCTGGCAATTAATTCCTGCTCTTATAAATGAGCATAACAAGCATGCACAATTTGGAGGGATCTTAACATTTTAATTCATTTTGGTTATTCTCTTCAACCCATTCAATAAAATCATTTAATTATACTAGAAGAGTTTATCACTGAAGGAAATACTACTTTTATGAAAGCCCAAATAATTTTAAAACAAAGAAACATTGAACTCCATATAAAACATTAAATGTGTTTTTAAAATTTTACTTTAGGGAAATATTCATCACAAAATGAAAGGTGAACTCATAGAACCCAAGGCCCTAAGGAGGTGCACTGGAAGACCTGGCCAGACCGAATGTCAGAAGCCATTTCAGGTGGGCACCAGATGGCCAAGCTCAGAAGGGCAGTGGCAGGGGCTGAACACCCAAGAACACTGTCTTGGTTAGTAGGTGCCAGCTGGGAATGGTCCAGGGGAAGAGGGAGCCCAAGGAACAGGGGTCAGCATACAACATCGTGACCCACGCACAGAAGCAGCACCACCCACTTGGGAAGAAAGACCCAGTGACCAACAGGCTTCCCATTCAGGAGACAAGGACAAGGACGTTCAAGGTTAGAGACAGACTTCCAGGAACACAGAGGGAAGGGGACATTGCTCTGGGGGTGGGGAGTTGGGCTACAGGATAGTATTACAGATCAACCTACTCCACTGCAAAAGTCCTGGACAGAAACCAGGGGGCCCAATAAGACCAGACCCCTGTACCTAACTGACCCCAGGACTGTGTAAGATTTGCCTGAATCAAAAACAGAGGGCACCTAAACCTGGTTCGTGATAGTACGGTGTGACTGAGGTGGGGAAACATTTAGGCTTTGAATATAACCATTAAGTAGTAGGTAAATGTGTCTAGAAAATCTAGAAGCATATTGGGTACAGGTCTATGTATCTTATTTCCAAAAAAAGAAAGTTCTCTGCTGTACTTACGGGAGCCAACTTCAGGTCCTGTAAGATATCATCAAAATAATGGAACTCAGTCAGTTCCAACTCTACCATGTCATTCTTCAGTTCCAGGATGCGGCCCATCACGCTGTCCAGTATCTTCCGGATCAGTATTCGCTTCTGCGGATGGACTATCTGGTCATAGATGTTCTCCAGGTTCCTGAATATCTGCACGTATTTGATGTAGAAGGTGGCCAGCATCTGGAAGATGAAGACTTGACTTCTTTGTGGTTCTATTATGTTCTGAGATTCTTTATCAAGCAAAGAATTGAGGGCTTCCTGGGTCTGGTGCCACATTTTATTATACATCCTGAGGAGAGACACAGAGCGTAGACACTTTAACAAGTCAAAATGATTTTGACAGGGTTATATACAGTAACCCCCAATTGATGAATGACGTCTATTCCAGGAAAATGTTTGTAAATTTAATTTGTTGTAATCCAACCCAGTGAGCCTTAAGCAGTGCACCTGGGAGTCGTACACAGTACACTGTGCAAGTTCCCGACTTGAGTATTCAGAAGTCAGGGACTTACTCTGCTAGCCATCGGCTGTTACCAAATATCACATGCAGTGAAGTAAGACCTCAGGGTACTGGACGTGGCCGAAAGGCTCTCTAGACAATTTATATTCTGACAAGCTTGTGATTTGGTTATGACCACTGCTATGACTACCAAATGATTACTGTGGGAAATTATAGCACACATTATTGAAATCCATAAGATTATCAGAAATTACTTTGAAAATTATAATCCAATCTACTGGAGAATCCAGAAGTTCATAAATTTTTAGTCACATATTGCCTACCTACACTGAATTAGTAAGTTCTAACAAATGTATGCAGATCGGTCACAAGCAACAGGATTCATGTACTAATTAAAACTCTTCAAATTGAGAAAATCCTGGGACCTGACTGATTTATTACTGAATTTCATCAAATCTTTAGAGAAAAACTATCACAGATTCTCCTCAAACCTCTCCATGTAATAGAAAGGGAATGCTTTTAAATTCGTTTTGTGCAGACAGCATTAACTTAAGGACAAAACCAGACAAGGACTCAACAGTAATGTATGAAAAAGAAGACAATTTCAGGCAATGATATCATTAATAGATATTAATGCAAGAATCCTCAATAAGATCTTTATAAACACAATTCAGCAACACATCAAAGAGATCATACAGTATGACCAAGATGATTTCATTCCAGGGATGCAAGCATGGTTTCACATATGTAAATCAAGAAATGAATTACACTACATAAGTGGAATCAGGGATAAAAACTACATTACCATCTCAGTGAATGCACAAAAGGCTTTTGAAAAAAATCTAGCATTCTTTGTATAAAAAAACCTTAATGAAATTGGGTTTAGATAGATCTTACCTCAAATTGATAAAAACCATATATGACATACCTACAGCCAGGACCATAATGAACAGGGAAAAACTGCAAGTATTTTCTGTGAAACTGGGAACAAGCAAGAGTATCTGCTCTCACCAGCCCTGTTCAGCACTGGACTTGAGGCTGTAACCAGGGCAATCAAGAAAGAGAAAGAAATACCAGCTGCATGAATAGGAAAGGAGGAGGTCAAATTATCACTATTAGCATATGATACACATCTCTATATGGAAGACCTAGAAAGCTACCAGAAGACTTTTAGATTTGATAAATTCATCAAAGTGGCAGGATACAAAATCAATAAGAAAGAAGGAGCAAGATATATCATGTACAGGTAAAAATTCCCTATGATGAATGTTATCATTGTGTATATATAAAATGCATCAATAACATAAAAAATGTAAAAAAGGACACAGAAAAATCAATAGTTTTAACTGTACACTAATAAAGAATGTACCAAGAAAGAAATAAAAAAGTCAATACCATTTTCTATAGCTTAAAACATTAAGTATCTAGGAACCAACCTAACCAAGGAGGTGCAAAAGCTCTGTAATGAAAATTACTGAACACAAAAGACAGAAATTAAAGAAGATGAGAAAAATGGAAAGCCCTCCTCTGCTAAGAATTGGAAAAATTAATTTTGTGAAAATGGCCACATTACCAAAAGAAACCTACAGATTCAATGCAATGACTATTAAAATGCAAACAACCTTCTTCATAAAGCTAGAAAATAAATCCTAAAATTCACACAGAAACACAAAAAAACCAGAATAGCCTAAGTAATTGCTGAGCAAGAAAAGTAATTCTACAGGCAGCACAAGCTCAGATTTCAAACTACACTCCAAGGCCCTAAGTGACAAAAATAACATGGTACTGGCACAAAAAACAGATGGCAGACTAACAGAATGGAATGGAAGTCATAGACACAAACCCACACATCTATGACCACCTGAGTTTTTCACAAAGAGGCCAAAAACATATGCCGGAGAAAAGGCAGCCTCTTTAAGAAAAGGTGCTGGGATAAATAGTATGGACATGCAGAGTAGAAGACTAACTTGCTATAGCAACTGAGCTTAAAATGGACCAATGACCTGGATAGAAGACCTTGAACCTTCTGAAGAAAACACGGGGAAACATTTGAATATAACCATATAAGCGAAAAAAAAAAAAAATCCAAAATAGGACCAAAATCACAGAATTAGTATAGAATGTCACCAAATGGGGCTACATCGAATTAAAAAGCTTCTATAGCAAAGGAAGAGTGAAGAGCTGACCTAGTGTGTGTGGGAAAATCTTTACTGCGTATTTTTCTGGTAGTGGATTAATATTAAGAATATATAAATGAACCACCCAAAGCAAATAATCATACCAAAAAGCGGTCAAATGAACTGATCAAACACTTTCCAAAAGAAGTATGAATGGCCAATAAGCACATGGAAAAATGGCGGAGGGGAAGGGAGGGAAAAGGATTGAGACACGTTTACATACATGTATCAACTCCCCACATGGATGTAATCACTGAGTACTGCAAACACACACAAATAAACATTTAATTAAAAGTAAATAAAAATACCAAAAAACACCCAATGCAAAATAGCTGGCAGCTTTTTTTACATAAGTTTTAAATAATATGTTGATATGAGATTTGATTAAAAATACGATGAATGTTTAAATTTTGAATTGTATTACAGAAATAGACACGTGGTTGTTAAAATACTTTCAATGCCCTCAAAATACTTTCTCTTGCTTTGAATATACTTGCCCCATCAGTTCTGCCTTGTATGTGCTGGTTCCTTAGACACTGATGTTACTAATAGTTACTCTCTTTCATGAGAAAACATAGCAATAAAATGCCAACAACACCACCAAAAATCACAACTTCCCTAAAACTGATCTCACAAATACAGAAGTGGATTAGAATGCCAAAGAATTTTAAAAACTCTTTAAGATAATCAATATAATCAAAGAAGAAACAAATAAGCAGCTGAATGAATCAATCATTAAAGTGACCCAATGAAGACACAAACAGTTGAATAAATTAAGAAAGACAATACAGGATAGGAAAGATTACTTCAGTAAAATGATGGAGGCTCTGAAAAAGAACCAGAAGGAAATTCTGGAAATGAAATCCTTAATCAGTCAAATTTACAGATGAGGAACCCGAGGCACAGGTATTGTCTAATGTCGTTTGATTTGAATGTATGATTTGTACCCAGGCAGTTTGCTCCAGAGTTTATGCTCTGACCACTGAACTTGGCCACTTCCTGGTCACCAGGAGGAAAGCAAGCAAGGGGCACAGGCATGGACCGATGGGCACAGACTTGGTGTCCAAGATGATGTGACTCAAACAAACAACACTCTTGCTGCCTCATCCTCCTGCTTAGGACACTGAACTCTGCCCCTGGTGCTCATCCCCAGGGTATTCAAGTACCAGAGTTCCCAAAGTGTCTTAGTGCAAAGGCCCTGGGTTTAATCCCTCAGTACTGCAATGAAAGAGGGGCAGGGGGAAAAGTATTATTAGTGAAATAGAACTCTGCTAGACAACTTCATTATAAAAGAGAACATTGTGAAAAAATTAGAATTCCTTCAGCACAGGATACTCTTTGCATCGTTAGTAATTAATAACCAGAGCTACTGATCAGAGCCCTACCAGTAACGCCAGTAATGCCTTAGAAAAGAATGACAACAAAAGCAACATATCACGTCTGTTCAAGCACCTGGAATATTCTAGTGTTCTGCATGCCAGGCCTGAGAAAGTAAAGCAGATGGGAGAAGAAGGAAAAAGGATCCTGTGAAAGGTGACCAGTAGCCTCTATACAACAAACAATAGCCACGCATCAATGCCCCCCTGCAGAGTGCAAAGTCAGGAAGGGTAGAAGAGATGAACACCGTGTGTCAGATCACCAAAGCCCGGCCAGGCAGGCTAACAGGCTCCTCAGTCACTCTCATACAACAGAAAAGTGCTTGATTTGTTTTCTGGACTAAATAGGGCTTGGGGCCTAAGCCAGGCAGGAAAACAGACTTTGTTTAGAACTCTGAGCTGAAATCCCATTGAACAAACAGAGCACAGCGTCAGGGCAAAAGCACTGCTCCTTTCAACCCAGGGAAGGAGAACCAGGCTGCCTGAGGCTCTACATCTGGGAATGTTTGACCTTGCCTAGAAAGACAGCATCAAACCCATGAGTCACGGCTGCAGGCAATGAGATGAGTAGACTGTGCCAGCCCCCACCTAAGCGAGACCCCTGCCACACTCCACTAGACAGTGAGAACTTTATGTGTCATGAAAAAACCAGACACCGAAGAGGAAACTCAGAGTGAAAAAGCACCAAGGAGCCACACATGAGATGGACACAAGAGATTTTTGCTACCACGGTTTATAAATGGCAAAAGCTATGGAAATCAGTAGCAAAAACAATGAGTCAGTCAGTACTGCAAAGTTGCAAGATTTAGCTAAAACATACAAATAAAGTGTGAAGAGAAAGAAAGAAAAAAAGATTTCCCATTAGCAGTACCAATAAAGAACCTCAATATTTGAGAATTATCATGGTGGGAGGCACATAAGACCTAGCTGAAGAAAATTCCAGGATGCAGACCATGGAAACAAGCAGAACGTGCCTATCTCAAGAGTCAAGATATAAAGCCAGCCACATCTTGAGCTGATGGATAGATTTCTTATTACCAAGAAGCTGCGAATAATAAACTGAAGATTTTAAGTAAGTGCTGTTGGGATTTTTAAATCCCTGGGCAGAATAGAAAGCAAGAGATCAAAGGCACCTTATGCATCAGGACATTTACCTCTGCAAGGAGCACAAACAGTGAGCACCACCCGTGAGGGCTGCACACACCATGGTGCAGTGGGATACGCTGGAGCCCACTGAGGCTGAGGAGCTCCTCTTCCCACCAGGAACCCCAATACC